AAAAAAAAAAAAAAAAAAGTGACAACTGAAGCTCTGAGGACTTACAAAACTTTCCCAAAGTCCCAGAGCTATGAAGTCTTCAGGTCGGGACTGAACAAAAGCTTCTGACTCTGAGAAGGCTTTTTCAAAAAGCCTCCAGTGATTTTTAACCTGCAGATGCTGAGTCCATCCTGATTAATCAGTGAACAATGACTCTTACCAACTACTTAATTCAAAACCCTGAGTTTTTTCTTTTGTCTTCTCACTTGATAAATAACTAGTTTACCCAAAGAGAGGAAACTTATAAAGTACTAATATGGAGATCTGAAAACAGTGACATCAAGTGTCAAGTGAAGGCGCTCTAGAAGATGCCTCTGCAAGCTGCCCCCAGTTGGGTGCCACCTACCCTGCCTGCAGAACAAGAGGCCCCGCCCCCATCCTGAAGCGGTATCCGCAGTCCCCGGGTCTGGCCTCCTGACCTCATTCCCTCTCTCTGAGAACTTGGAATCTGAACAGGGAGAGTCAGGAGCTGAGTCACTTTCTGTTTTCTCAGCTTTACCGAGGTGTAATTCACATGCCAAACAGTACACCCGTTAACATGTACAATGCAGTGACTATTAGGATATTCAGAGTTGTGAGCAGCACTACAGTCAATTTTAGAACGTAACATCACCCCAAAAAGGAACCTGCATCCAGTGGAGCTCAGGCCACTTTTATGGCTCAAGTTGAGGGGGATGTTTCTCAAAGCATGGTCCTAGGACCACTTATCCCTGCGTCACTGAGGGGGCTTTCAAAAATGCGTTGGCCAGACCTGGTTGATCCCACCTACAGGTGGGATCCTAGGTACTGGGGAGGCTGAGGGAGGAGGACTGCCTGAGGCCAGGAGTTCAAGACCAGCCTGGGCAATGTAGTGAGAGAGACTGTATCACTATAAAACATTAAAAAAAAATTAGCCAGGCATGGTGGCATATGCCTGCAGGCCCAGCTACTTGGGAGGCTGGGGCAGGAGGATCACTTCAGCCTAGGAGCTCAGCCTAAACATACAGCAAGACCCTGTCTCAAAATAAAACAAACTAATTACTTTAAAAATGGTGATTTGTGAGCCTATGTCAACCTACTTGAGTGAGACTCTGGGAGGGGCCCGGGGAATCTGCATTTTAACAAGTGTCTGGGATTCCCATTCAGCTCTACCAGTTGTTCTTAATTTGTTCTTTGCCATGGACCCTGCAGCAGCCAGCTGATGCCTATGCACACTCTGTCAAATACTATTTTTTTTTTTATGGAGTCTGCTCTGTTGCCCAGGGTGGAGTGCAGTGGCACGATCTTGGCTCACTTGCAACCTCTACTTCCCAGGTTCAAACGATTCTCCTGCCTCGTCTCCCCAGTAGCTGAGCTTACAGGCACCTGCCATCATGCCTGGCTTCCTTACATATTTTTAGTAGAGATGAGGTTATACCATGTTAACCAGGCTGGTCTCAAATGTCTGACCTCAGGTGATCTGCCCACCGTGGCCTCCCAAAGTGCTTGGATACAGGCATAAGCCACTGCGCCTGGCCCTTGGAATATTATTTTTAATGCAGCAAATAAAACACGTAAGACTACAGAGAAAACCAATTACACTAAAACACAGCTGGCAAAATATTTCTTCAATGCATTTGTGATGCTGTAATCTATTGCTTCTTTGTGAGTGCATTAACAGCTCTAACAGTGGGCTTAATAACTGCTGTGCTTTTAAAGGAAGAAGAACATAAACAATCTTCTGAAATACCTTTCACACCTGAAATGTGATGTGAACATATTTGTTGATTTCTTTTGGTGACAAAGTCCCAGCTACTGCTACTGTGGCTTACTGCCTGTAATTCATCGAGTGAAAGATAAATTTCACTCAGAGGTTTTTTAAAAGCTGTCTTTTTTTTCCCCTTATCCAAATTCATGGTCACTCTGTCAGACCACTAGGAAGTAGGCAGACTCCAAGTTATAAGGACCCTTGCTAGGGAGGGTCCAGAAATTCCTCCTGCTGGTGCCCAGAGTGGCCTCATTCTTTCTAGCCCAAGCTTAGATGTACATCTCTTCCATTCCACAAAAATCCAGTATCCTTCCAACAATGCCCCTCTTAACCTCTGCTATGTTTAGTTTCTGTTATTTGCCATCAAAAAAAACTTTGTCGCCACTTTCTTAGTGCTTTCTAGAAAGTTTACCATGTGCAGAGGCACTGTTCTGACCATGTGAGTATTCACAAACTTAATACTCATGGCAACCCAGAGAAGTGATAGTTCTTATCCCAATTTTATAGACAAGGAAACTGCAGCCCAGGGATGTTATATTATTGCCCAAGAACGCAGAGCTGGAAGAAGGATGGGCCACGATTCCATGCCAGGCATCTTGGTTCTGAGGCCTGTGCCCTTCCCCACTGAGCGAACACCTCTGCCTTGGCAGTATACAGTGCAATGGACTAAATGTTTGTATCCCCCTGCAAATTCATACATGGAGACCCTAATCCCAATGTGATGGTATTTAGAGGTGGGGTCCCAGGCAGGTAATGAGGTCCCAGAGGACCAATTGCTCAAAAGGCCAGAGAGCTTGCCCTTGCTTTTTTCTGTCACATGAGGACATAACGGCAAGATGGGCCTGTAGTCTCAGCTGCTCAGGAGGCTGAGGCGGGAGAATCGCTTGAGCCTAGGAGTTCAAGGCCACAGTGAGCTATAACTGCACCACTGCACTCCAGTCTGGGTGACAGAGTGAGACTCTGTCTCTTAAACAAAAAGGCTGGGCACGGTGACTCACCTGTAATCCTAGCACTTTGGGAGGCCAAGGCAGATGGATCAGGAGTTCAAGACCAGCCTGGACAACATAATCAAACTCCATCTCTACTAAAAATACAAAAATTAGCCAGGCATGGTGGCGGGTGCCAGTAATCCCAGCTACTTTACAGGCAGGAGAGGCTGAGGCAGGAGAATCGCTTGAACCTGGGAGGCGGAGGCTGCAGAGAGCCAAGATCATGCCATTGCACTCCAGTGTGGGCAACAACAGTGAAACTCCATCTTAAAATACATAAATAAATAAAAAAGAGAGCGACAGAAAGAGAAGACAGTTGTCCGCAACCTACAAGTGGGTCCTCATTAGAACCCAACCAGGCTGGCACCCTGATATCAGACTTCCAGTTTCCAGAACTCTGAGAAATAAATGTTGTTTAAGCTCCCAGTCTATGGTACTTCGTAAGAGCAGCCTGAGGTAACACGGCCCCTCTACTATTATAGTATGAGCCCCCCACAGCAAGAAAAGAAAATTCATTAAGCAGTTCAAATACTAACTAGAAAACCAACACAAAAATATCAGAGAGAATGTTCCTGCAGTTTTAGGCGTAAGAATACATATAATATTATAAGGCAGGTCAAAGGAAGACATGTCTTAGGGTTCTGCTGAGGAAACCTACCGGAACTATTAATAAAGTAGAAAAGAAATTGCAGAGGAATTCCAGCAGGAACGATTCCGACGGCCGCATCTTCCCCTCGATATTAATCATCTTTGGAACTTCCGGAATGAGGCTTATAGCAGCTTTGAAAAAAGCATCAGCTACGAGACAGAAGAAAAGTCAGTGTATTAGAACTCTGGAAAATTTAATTGGCTTTTTTCTTCATGTGGCCGGAGGGCCAGTCCTGAGAGTTAGGTGGAAGTCAGGTCATGCCAAGGGCAGGTCCTAGCAGGGGGTTTCTGAAAATCATGATGGAGCTGGAGGAGCAATTCGCTTGACAGGGCACTGCTTCAGCTCAGAGAACCTCTGTTAAACTGCCTTTAGATTATTCAGTGAAAAAAGCAGGTCACAAATTTTTGTAGGAAGTCTAGAAATGACAGTTGCCTGGACTAAAGGCTCAAGTTGGACTGGTTCACTGAATTCTCATGTCTACCATTCGAGGAAGGTGCTGTCAACAGGTGTACTTCACAGAAGAGAAGTAAGGGAAGGAAAGAGAAGCAATTCATCCTGCGACAGGGTCTTGTGTATGTAGGAAGTTCCAGTGTTGGTGGTGGAGCTGCTCAAACCCTGGTCCATTTGAATCTATTCTGGTGCACACCATTTTTGTTAAGTTACCATCAACACATCTAAAAGGGTACGCATGTGCGCACACGCGCGCGCGCACACACACATACAGCTTAAAGATTTCTGATTAACAGCTCCACAGAGCTGTCACACACATACACACACGCAGCTTAAAGATTTCTCATTAACAGCTCCACAGAATTGTCACACTGTCACTCACACTCACACTCACACACACACACACACACACAGCTTAAAGATTTCTGATTCACAACAACTCCACAGAATTGTTTGGGAAATGAAGATATTTAAAGAGCTATGAAATAATCTATAAAACAACAAGACTTCAAAGGGAGCAAGAAAGGAAAAGGAGTGGAGAGAGAATGTGTGAGCAACAGGATAGAGAGGAGGTGAAAGGGGAGGGAGAGTGGGAAGGATGGAAGGTCGGGGGAGACGCAGAAGGAGGGAGGGAGAGTTCTTTCCAAAACTGCCAAGGTACTGACTGTGAGAAAAGTCTCAAGGTCAAAACAGTCAAAACACTGACCTCACAAATGAAATTTTAAACTACCCGACAAGATCAAATGTTTTCATGGTCCAAATGGACTTCCACTCCAAAACGACTTCCAGTGATGCAAACAGAACACTGTAGTGGTGAACAGTGTCCTGAATTAAAGCAGGAAGGCTGTCCAGCACACCAGAGGGGCAAATGCAACAGCAAATGCTCACTTTCCCGGGAGAATGGCCTATGTTTAATGAGAAAAGTATGTGTCTGAAGATGGATGACGGAGTTTTGCCATCTCGTCCTTCTTCAAGCAGAGGGAAAAAAAACCATGTCACAGAAAGACACTGCTTGTAAAGCTTTCTGGGTCAAGTTAGCTCTGCTCTGGAAGCTTCCTCGCCTGGCTGTTTCCTGAACCCCAAACTCAAACCCCTTCCACATTTATTAAGCACCAGCCGTGAACAGGGTACTGTCATTGAGATGCACAGGTGAAAAATGTCAGAGAAAGTGTTGACAACAGAAACTGTGGCAATGAGACCAACATAATCATACTAATTAACAACTGTTTTCTTGGTTTTTACTTCTTTTTTAGGCCAGGTTGAAATGCAGTGGCATGATCTCGACTCATTGCAGCCTCTGCCTCCTGTGCTCAAGCCATCCTCCCACCTCAGCCTCTTGAGGAGCTGGGACTACAGGATGTGCCACCACACCCGGCTAATTTTTGTATTTTTTGTACAGATGGGGTTTCACCATTTTGCCCAGGCTGGTCTCAAACTCCTGAGCTCAAGTGATCTGCCTGCCTTGCCCTCCTAAAGTGCTGGGATTACAGGTGTGAGCCACCTCGAGGGGCCAACACTTATTTTATAATCCTGTTATATATTTTGGTCTATGAATCCACTCATCTCAATCATTTTGGGGAGAGATATTAAACATGGGGCTTGGGGAAAAGCCACCTGACATCAGTTCTGACAGAGAAACCTTCCAGAAAGGGTCAGAGACTGCAGGGTCTTCTATCTTGTGACCACTAGTAAGGCATGGCCCGGCTGGGCGCAGTGGCTCGTGCCTGTAATCTCAGAACTTTGAGAGGCCAGGGTGGGCGGATCACTTGAAGTCAGGAGTTCAAGACCAGCCTGCCCAACATGGTGAAACCCCGTCTCTACTAAAAAAATACAAAAATTAGCTGGGCGTGATGGCACACACCTGTAATTCCAGCTACTTGGGAGGCTGAGGCAGGAGAATCGCTTGAACCTGGGGGTCAGAGGTTGCAGTGAGCCAAGACTGTGCCAGTGTACTCTAGCCTGGGCAACAGAGCAAGACTGTCTCAAAAAAAAAAAAAAAGACACGGCCCTACTTGCAGAACCCACAGGAGCTCCTAGGCTTTGTCTTTAAGCAGTTCATTTCCTTAGTCCTCCAGCAGTCCCACAGTGAAGTAAGTGTATCATGAAACAAGGTTCTCAGTGGGAATGCAAATTCTGCTCAGATCAACTTGAAAGACCATTTTTTTTCTCTTTATGTGTTTGTTACTGACTGGCCCAGAGAATGTGCCTATTATTATGCCTCGTTAAAAAGAGAGCAGCTTTGTCCCCAGAACTTGGCTCCTCTCGCCTGCCCCGCCCAGTTCCACTCTAAAGAAGGGAGCTAAAATAAACAGTTATTTAAAGGTTGGGGCATGCAGGGTTCCAAAGCAGATTTTTAGTTCTATCCTCAGAAGGCTTGCCCCATATAGAAAATATTGTCTGGGTGATTTCTTGATCATTTTGTAGTAATTAGAAATCAAATCCTACTGCATGTCAAAGCAGTTTATCCCTATAAAGTTCAAAATAATCATGTCAACTTCATGTAACACTTTATTTTGTTGCTATTAAAAGCCATGGAAGAGAATTTAAGATAAAATGGATTAGTTTTTTTTTTTAAAGACCTACAGAAAAGGAGAACTCAGATTCCCATTAGTAAAGAATACTGTCCCCTTTTTGAGTAATACCCTATAAGCACAGGCAACCAAAGTAAAAATGGACAAATGGGATCACATCAAGCTAAAAAGCTTCTGCACAGCTAAGGAAACAATCACCAAAGTGAAGAGACAACCCACAGAGTGGGAGAAAATATTTGCAAACTACCCATCTGACAAAGGATTAGTAACCACAACATAAGGAGCTCAAACAACTCTTTAGGAAAAATCGAATAATCTGATTTTTAAAATGAGAAAAAGATTTGAATAGATGTTTCTCAAAAGACATACAAATGGGAAACAAGCATATGAAAAGGTGCTCAACACCACCGATCACCAGAGAAAGGCAAATCAAAACTATAAGGAGATATCATCATATCCCAGTTAAAATGGCTGTTAGCCAAAAGACAGGCAGTGACAGACAAATATGCTGGTGAGGATGTGGAGAAAAAGGAAACGCTCGCACACACACTATTGGTGCAAATGTTAAATTAGTACAACTGCTACGGAGAACAGTTTGGAGGTTCCTCAAAAAACTAAATATAGAGCTACCATATGATCCAGCAATCCCACTACTGCACATACACCCAAAAGAAAGAAAATCAGTATATCAAAGAGGTATCTGCACTCCTATGTTTGTTGGAGCTGTTCACAATAGCCAAGATTTGGAAGCAGCCTAAGTGTCCATCAACAGAGAAATGGATAAAGAAAATGTGGTATAGCTATACAATGGAGTACTATGCAGCCATAAGAAAGAATGGATTCTGTCATTTACAACAACATGGGTGAAACTGGAGGTTATTATGTTAAGTGAAATAAGCCAGGCACAGAAAGGCAAACCTTGCATGTTCTTATTTGTGGGAACTAAAAACAAAAACAATTGAACCCATGGAGAGGCAGAGAGCAGAAGGATGGTTACCAGAGGCTGGAAAGAGTAGTGGTGGGGCATGATGGGGAGTGGGAATGGTCACTGCATAAAAATAAAAATAGTTAGAAAGAATGTGTAAGATCTAGTATTTGACAAAACAACAGGGTGACGCTAGTCAATAATAATTTAATTGTACATTTTAAAATAAGTAAAAGAATATAACTGAATTGTTTGTAGCACAAAGAATAAACGCTTAAGGGGATGGCTACCCCATTCTCTAGGATGTAATTATTATACACTGCCTGACTGTATCAAAACATCTCATGTACTTCATAAATATATACACCTACTATGTACTCACGCAAATTTTTTTGGAAAAGGAAAAAACATACACTGTCCTGGTTCCACTAGAGAAAGGGAAAAGCAGCAAGTATATGCACTAGGCTTCCTCCATCCAAGTCCTCTGGGGTTCATGGGACATCCATGTTTCTCTTCTTTTCTTTTCTTTTCTTTTTTTTTTTTTTTTAAGATGGAGCTTTTTTTTTTCTTCCTGGTTTGATTTTAGGGGTGTGATCCAGCTAACTGCAACCTCCATGTCCTGGGTTCAAACAATTCTCCAGCCTCAGCCTCCCGAGTAGCTGGGACTACAGGCGCATGCCACCATGCTGGGCTAATTTTTGTATTTTTAGTAGAGACGGTGTTTCACTACGTTGGCCAGGCTGGTCTTGAACTCCCAGCCTCAGATGATCTGCCTGCCTTGGCTTCCCAAAGTGCTGGGATTATAGATGTGAGCCACCGTGCCTGGCTGGGACAGTCATATTTCTTTTCCATATACCCCCCCGCCCCTTTTTTTTTTTTTTTGCTTTTATTTCCAATGTCTCAGCACAACCATTCCATATCTCACCTTCATGGCAAAACCCAAATCAGAAAAACCCCACTTAGGCCTTACTGACCCCAACACCACAGTTCAAAGTATTTGAAACCCCTCTTTCTTGGGGCAGGGGCTGCTTTTTCGAGCAGCATTCTACCGTTCTTTCCACACAGCAATCAATGCGTCCCACAGCACTGCTGGATACTGGGCAGAGAGCAAAGACAGACACCATCCCCATATTCGTAGTTAACTGCAGAAAGAGCCACCATGTCCATATTCGTAGTAAGAGAAACTCCATAAACACAACCATTGTAGTAAGAACTGCAAAACACAGCCACCCTCCCGGTATTT